GTGGTGGTGGTGGTGTCGTCGTTGTTTTGTTGGTGTTGGTGGTGAGTACAGGACGAACGCTCCAAGAGCTGAGATGACATGAGTATCATGAAGAGTGCGCTGCTTAAGCCTTTGGGCTTGGCACTTTGAAGCAAGTTTTCCTACTTCCTAGTCTGTACAGTAGCAGGTTTGCGCTTTTGGCTTCGGCTTCCTTTCTCCGGAAGCGGACGGGCTGAGAGATGTCCTCAGTTCTGATCACACACCCAACAAACGACTAGATCCCCTATACTAAGCGGCTCCAGACCCCAAGCCCTAAACCCCAAACTAATACCCCTAAACGCCCTAAACATCCAAAGCCTCCGCACCCACACAACACCAAAACCCTAGGTCTTAAACCCTCAAGGCTAAGCCCCAAAACCGTAAACGCCCGAAAAGCCCCCACAAGCGACCTGCAGGGAGGCCCTCAAAACATTCCGCTGGTGTTCCGCGCCCGGGATCTCGATGAGGCAGAACAGCTCAAGCCTGGGCAGGAGGGGCCCGGACCCACTCAAGGACTTCCCTGTTTTTCCTCAGAGAGAGAGCGAGAGGGAGAGGGAGAGATTCGGGTTTAGTCTAAGGTTGAGGAGTGTTGCACTGGTTGCCGTGAAGGGCTTCTATCGAGCTGTCCTGCATCACAGGCACGACGCAACCAAGGCCCAAGGCCGCATGCCCAATGAAAATCCCAAAGCACCGAGACAACCTAGCAACCACCCGGTTCCAAAGCCCGAACAAAGACGATGCAATGCTGGGCTATAGGTGGTAGAAGATGTCTGTGCCCTTGCTGTTGCTGCTGTTGCTGAGGTGGTGGTGGTGNNTGGCGGTGGTGGCGGTGGCGGTGGCGCTGGCGGTGGCTGTAGCTGTTGGTTTTGTTATAATTATTGCTCTTGTCATTGTTCTTGTTCTTGTGATTGTTCTTGCTGTTGCTCTTGTTCTTGTTGTTGTCTTGCTTATTGTTCTTGTTGTTGCTGCTTCTATTGCTGTTGTTGTTGTTGATGATGATGCTGTTGCTGTTGCGCTTGTTGCTGCTGCTGTCGCCCTTGTTGCCTTGCTGCTGTTGTTGCTGTTGTTGTGAGCCATGAAATGGGTTTGCGAGTACATGCCTTTATGGTAACTATGGCAGTTGAAGTCTAGGGATCGGACGTCGGTGGGTGGAGCATCTTCTTGATGGCAAAGTGGCCGTGGCCTGATCGGGGCCGAGGAGAACATTCGGATCTGGATCTGGCACTGCTTTCGAAGCTGGATTTCTGTTAGGAGCAAAACCTTTGACAGTAAACGACAGTATAGCAATTTACATGGCAAGTGAAGAGAAGCACTACAGTTGTCATCATTTGACATCATCTGGCTTTGTCGGACCCTTCCAAAGAGGGCCTCAACATGAGCACACAGGGATGATCCAAAATTTCTCTGCTAAGGGGAGTCTGGGCTTGGGGTAGCAGGCCGAGGGTTTATATGTTGGTTTCCGTACCCTCCAACCCGGAAACATGGGACCTACGCGAACCGGCACCAAGTATCCCGGCGTTGCGGGCACGACGACAGGAAGACCAGCGCGTCGTGTCGGATCTTCGGTGTGCGGGCATGTGGAAAGGTTTCCCTGACTCTTGCTTCAACGATCTGCCTTGGGGTAGGCTTAGGGTTTTAGGACCTGTGCAGTTAGCTATTAGGAAAAGACCCTTAGAAGGACGTCGGAATTTCTCTAAAGTCTGCTTTGTTGCTCGGAAGCCTGGTCGCTTGAGCAGTGGAAGTGTTGCACACAAGGTGATATAAGGAAAAGGGCAGGATAACGAGAATGATACAACACAACAGAATTAGAATTACAATGCAATGCAATACAGTATACTACAATATAATATGATGTAACCCGATCTCATACGCTACAATGCAAGGGTTTACGGCTAGTAGGGCTCAGTGCTCAGTTCTCCCAGTCCTCATATACTCTTCCATTCCTTCAATCATTTCTGTTCTATTGGATTATATCATGTTCCGTTATCCTACAGTACATTATCCTATCGAATATAACATCCTAAACCCTAAACCCTAAACCCTAAACCATATATGACTGCGACCTCCAGACGAAGATTGGCGACTCGAGGCCTCCCATCAACACGCAGTGCCAAGCATTTGCCGTGGCTGAAGTGTTTAGGGTTTAGGGTTTAGGGTTTAGTCTTCACACCTAAACCCTAAGCCCTATACCCTAAACCCCCAAAACCCGAAACCTAAACTGTA